AAAAAAAATATAATAAATGAATAAACTGATTAAAATACAAAAATATAAGCCAGGAATGAAAAGCAAGACTATTACCAGCACAATTGTAGTCCTTGTTTGTAATTTATATCTGGGACCGGCCAGGATGGATGTGGATACTTTGTGTCACAAAAGTTTCCTCTGGCTGTCGGCTTGTCGGTGAGGTTAGCGTGCGTCTCAGACCTCACTCTGAGAACTGTACGCTGCAGCCCGATTGGTCCCCAACTTGTGAGAGCTTTCTTTGATGCACCCAAGGTCCTACTGCTGGGTTGAAGTCTGCCACCGTATCCCGCTTGAGATCTGACGCGTTTCGTGGGTGTCCGCCCCACTTCTTCAGAGATAGAATGATGTTCCGTGGTTGAGCGATGATTTAAATATATGTCTAGTTGATTGATCCTAATTAGTATACATGATGACTATTGCATATAATAAATACAACGATTGAATAAAACTGAGTGTTTAGGAGGATATATTGCACTAACGGTTTTGAAAGAATAAAAATACACAAATAGAAAATAAAGATTTTCACATCCCTGTAGGTGTTCTATCACCGTGTAGAGTGAGGTAACATCTGCTGTTACTAATCTGAGTTGAATCTCTTAAATGTGATTTTAGACATGGTACCAGATTTTGGTACCATGTCTAAAATCACATTTAAGAGATTCAACTCAGATTTTAAATCTTTTATCGGATTTTAATTGGACTGAAGATATGATTTTAGTAACAGCAGATGTTACCTCACTCTACACGGTGATAGAACACCTACAGGGATGTGAGGCCATACAATATTCCTTAGCAGTGTATTCGGAATTAAAGAACGACCAGATTGATTTTATAATTCAATGTATTGCTTTTATTCTTACCCATAACTATTTTTGGTGTGATGAACACTTTTATCTACAAATAGAAGGTACAGCCATTGGGACACGGTTTGCGCCAAGTTATGCAAATCTATTTATGGGCAAATGGGAGGAAGAGTTTATTTGGAACCATTGCCCTTTTGGCGCAAACCTGTCCCTGTGGCGTAGATATATAGATGACTGTTTTTTCATTTGGAAAGGGAACTTAGAATTCTTGGAAGCTTTCCAGATCTACCTCAATACTAACCCATACAACCTTCAATTCACTTTTAATCATTCTCAAGAACACATTGAATTTTTAGATCTCAACATTTTTATTGAGGAAAAGAAGATCCACACCAAAACTTTAAAAAAATCCGTGGACTGTAATAGTTTTATCCCTTTTAACAGTCATCATAAACAAACCTGGCTCAGAAATATTCCATACAACCAATTTAGGAGGATCAGACGGAACTGTTCAACAATGGAAGTATGTGAAGAACAAATGGAAGAGATGCAGCAAAGATTCCTTAATTCCTACGGAACTACTGATTGAAGCCAAAAAGAAAGCTATAAAAATTCTGAGAGAAGATACTCTGAAAAATAAGATCAAGACCGACGATACACTTAAATCAGCTCCTACTTTCATAACACAGTTCAATCATCAATCTCACACTATAGAGAAGATTTTGAAAAAACATTGGAACATTCTCAGGAATGATCCCACACTTGTAGAAATTTTAGACTCCAGACCACATGTCATTTTTACCAGAGCACCAAATCTGCAACTTATGTTGGCTCCGACACTTAAAACCTCCAATACTATTAAAAATAAAACAATGGACACAGGTTTTAGAAGATGCAGGAAATGTATAGCCTGCAGGAACAATCCCTCTTTGGAATATACAACTACAAAATTTATATCTACAATCAGTAAGAAGGAATATGACCTGAAGTCCAACATGAGCTGCGACTCAATAGGAGTAATCTCTCATTACATGTCCCTGTTCAAAACAATATGTAGGTCGAACCAAGAGATCATTAAAAATCAGAATATCGGAACATATCCGAAATATAAAACGAGGACTGCAAATACACAATCTCTCCAAACACTTTCAGGAGTATCATGGAGGA